TTTAGTCTTCATGAAAACTCTTTCCGGTAGGCCAGTATTCTCCCCAACTTACAGGGAAGGAAATCAAGGCCCAGAAGGCTCCGCTTGCTGAGAGCCTCCTACCTATAAGTGGTAGAGGTGGGATTTAAACCTAGACAGCATGGATCTGTGGTGCTTAGACCTCACCACTATGCTAAACTTTGCGGACTTCTAGTGGGTTGATGAGGTCCATCTAAATCCCGAGTTTCTAAGAGAGAGCCAATGGGCCCAGAGAAGGTTAGCAAACTACTTCAGGTCACACAGCAGGTTTTGGTGCTTCTCCCCCCAGCATTGCTTCCTAAGGTGTATTTAAATAACTTCAGTGCTCATGGACAAAGGGCACTCAACCTTTCCAAAGAAACCCTTCCAAGTTTATGTCATTCCTCCTTGGGAACAATGCTTTGCCCTCCACCCAACCCAGCACCAAAGCAAACGCCTGCAGAGAGTGATACCAGCTCTGTTGGGCCCCAGCTGGGCATTGCAGCCTATGGGCACCCACTCACAGAACTTGGGCACACCTAAATGCATGTGTGTATGTATGTATATGTGCACACTCCAGCATACACACGTTTCAGGTACATGCATATACATACACATACACTTGCAAGCATGCATGCATGCTGTCTACATGCTCACTCCACCCCTGCTCTCTCCTCTCAAGATGAATGTCCACACAGGACAGTGAGGCAGGTGGTCCAACATGTTGCCCTAATCTGAGCCAGGCCAGTCCCCCAGGTTCCAGACAGCCTTCTCGGACCTGCTGAGAAGAGTGGACCCAGATTGCTGGGGGAGGCCAGGAACCACACTCTAGAGCCACTAGGTCAGAGGCCAGCTGCTCTGCATGGAGAGAAAGCTTCAGGATCATGGTGTGTGTTCTTGGCCTGGGAGCCCCTTGAGGGCCAGCCATGTTGGTGTCCCTGTACCCAGCATAGTGCCTGGTGTAGAGCAGAAGGCCCAGTTTGTGGCAATAGTTGACTGTGTGCACAAGTGGCCCCTTACTGTATCAGTTTGAAAATACAGTTGTCGTAGGATTGTTTCATCTCCACCTGCCCTCTGGGCTTTTGAGTTTCATGAAGATAATAGGGCTCATGTCTGATTTGTCTTTGTTCCCAGCATCAGATGCTGGCAAAGAGTGGTCATCAGTGAGTGAATCAGTAAAGATATATATGGCTGTGAGTGACAATAACAATAGCTTAAACATGAAAGAGATGTGTTTATCTTACCTGGTCTAAAGGGAGGGGTCCTAGGCTGAGCCACAGTGTCTGGGATCCAGACTCATTTTATCTTTATATCTAGGATCTAGACTTCCATCATGCACAGCTTCCATTCACAAATGTACCTCATGGTCCAATATGGCTGCTCTAGTTCCAGCCAATACACCTGCATCCTAGCCAACAGGATGAAGTAAAATAGGAGAAACAAAATGAAGAAGGGCAAAGGGCCTATGTCAGCTTTCTCTTAAGAAAGCTCGAGCACAACACTTTCACATACATTCATTTAGACAGAAGTTGGTCACTGGCCATTACTTGCTACAAAAGAGGCTGGGAAAGGCAGCCTCCATTTTGGGTGACCATGTGCCCAAGCCAAACATCAGAGGCTATATCACTGTGCTCCACAGGAGACATACATATGGCTCCACCATTTTCAGTTTTTGCTAATTCAGCTTTCAAGATTCAGAGAGCATCTTGGGAATTTTTTGTCAGGCTAGGAATACACAGTACTCAAAGCAAGAAGGACTCTAGCTGCTGCATCCCATCTTGTGGCTGCCTGTATGGAGAGGGGCTGGCAGGAACTTCTGCTAGCCAGAGCTAAGAGAAAGAGTGAGACAGGATCACGTAATGGTTAAGGCGTGTGCTTTAGAGTTCAATGGGTTATGTTTTGGCACCTTCCACCTGTGTGACCTGGGCACATCCCTTAACTTCTCTGAGCCTCCACTTCCTTTTCTGTACCATGAGAACAACCATGCCCACCTCAAGGAAAGTGGCAAAGATGCAATGATGTCATGAACACAAAGCCCTGGGCACAGTGCTAGGCCCAGAGGGGACCCGTAGAAGGCCACCTGTCAGAAGGGGATGGCATGTCTTGGGGAACTGGGGAAGGGCTCAGGCTCAGCCACCAAAGGACCTGGGGTTCTCCAAGTTCAGCAGGAACCAGCTTTTTTGCCACTTGTTTTATACCCCCTAACAGTAGAAACAATTATTTACGATCCAAGCAGGCGTGTTAATTTGTGAAACTGAGAAAAAGCAGATGAGCTAAAAGAAAAAAGAATCATCAACAAACCTACCACCTAGAGCTAAACATTATTAATTTGTTGACTATCTTGTCAGACTGTTGTATAATCCTATGTACACCTTTAACTGTGCATACTTACATACTTCTCTTCATGTAAAATGTATATGCTTTTCATGGGGTCACACAACACATCAGCTACTTGAAAACCTCAAAATACTAAAAACTACCCTGTTGAAATAATAGCTTTTTCACCTCTTGACAGATTAATTTTTCTCCATGAAAACAGATTGAAGCACCCATCGCTACTCTTACTGGCTTCATAAGACCAAGATTTAGTCCGCTGCCTTCTGTCTGACTGTTTCACATGTAAGTTTTTTTCCAATTTTTCTACAGGTAAAATAATGTTTTATGAACATACTCTACACAAATATCTGTGTGAATTTTTGGTTATTTCTTTAGGCTAAATTCCTATAAGTGGGCTTCTTCCATGTTTTAAAAGTTTTGGTCTTTCAAGCAAACCACATTCACAAAAAAGAGATTCCTACATAAAAAATATTAGGCAAAGCCATATGGAACTGCCAGTCAAAGCTTTGAATCAGCAGGAGAAAATCCACTGTTCCCACACTGAACTGACATAAATACTAGCCAAAAACTACAGACACTTAATATGTTTGTGAGTCTCTGCTGTATTATTGTGGGTAAACATGTCATTTCCATCCAGGTGTCTGAAACAGCAGCAATGATGACACCAGCTAACACACTGCACTGCTCAGGCGCCAGGCACCCTTCTAAGTGATGTATGTGATAGGTATCACTTGATAGATACACACACATAGGTAGATACATTGATAGACAGACAGACAGACAGACAGACTTTTAGTCTTCATGAAAACTCTTTCCGGTAGGCCAGTATTCTCCCCAACTTACAGGGAAGGAAATCAAGGCCCAGAAGGCTCCGCTTGCTGAGAGCCTCCTACCTATAAGTGGTAGAGGTGGGATTTAAACCTAGACAGCATGGATCTGTGGTGCTTAGACCTCACCACTATGCTAAACTTTGCGGACTTCTAGTGGGTTGATGAGGTCCATCTAAATCCCGAGTTTCTAAGAGAGAGCCAATGGGCCCAGAGAAGGTTAGCAAACTACTTCAGGTCACACAGCAGGTTTTGGTGCTTCTCCCCCCAGCATTGCTTCCTAAGGTGTATTTAAATAACTTCAGTGCTCATGGACAAAGGGCACTCAACCTTTCCAAAGAAACCCTTCCAAGTTTATGTCATTCCTCCTTGGGAACAATGCTTTGCCCTCCACCCAACCCAGCACCAAAGCAAACGCCTGCAGAGAGTGATACCAGCTCTGTTGGGCCCCAGCTGGGCATTGCCAAACAGCAGTCAGGCCTGGTGCAGGGCCTCCTTGCCATCCTGGACAACCCAGCCTTAGCTCTGGGTCCCCTCTGGCTGCTGGTTATGGTTGGGGCACCAGTTAGCATGTGGTGCATGGACTAGAAAAATACTATTTTTCTGCCTGACCACTTTCCAATTATAGAGATTGTGATTCTAATATTTTATTTTAGAATTCTAACATAAGTGAGAATTTAATATAAAATAAGTACAGAATTCTCAGCTTTCATAATTTGATCATTCTGAATTCTTTGATTTTAGAAGTCTTTGCCCTTCATCCCAAAAGCTGGGGTCAAGGAAGGCCCCTGCCCTGGGCAGTCGGGAAGTGGGCTGCCTGGAGGACAAGCAGCTGGTTAAGATCTCTCAAAGGCCAGAGGCCATGACCTGGGACCTTTGCCATCTTTTCCTGGAACCTCTGGTCTTGTTCTGGGTATGCTGCTCCCAGATGTCCTAGTCATCGCTCCCCCAACCCAGGGACCCCTCCTTATCTCCTCCTCCAAGCAACTCTTGCTCACATCAGGGGCCCCATAGTCAAGCTCAGCTGCCGCTTCCACAGCAGAGCACATGTCCTGAGGCTAGGAAAACAGCAAGTGTTGAACTTGGGTGTTACTGTTTTTGGAAAAAAAATACACAAACAGCCCCTCCATGTGCGCTGGGCTTCAGCAGCAGGGCCTGCACTGAGTGGCAGAAGCAGGGCCTCGGATTTAGCATGGGGTCCTCCAGGGCCTTTCCCGGGAGACTCCACCTCCAGGGGCTTCCATGACCTTCCAGGGACGATGGATGAGCAAGCTCAGCGAGGACATGGTCCCAAGCTGGGCTAAGTGGGAGACTAGGCAAGACCACAGGCGGAGCCAGGACTGAGACTGTGCCTCCTCGGCACGAGCCGGGCGTAAGGGCCAAGCTCTGGGACCAGTGCTGGGTTTGCTCTCGTCCGAAGGACTGGCTCAGTGTCTGGAGTAGGGCCAGGGTGGGGTAGGCGGGACATGGTGTGAACCCCCAGACAGGCCTGCAAAGGGTCTTCAGCCCGGAGGTGCTGTGGGGTGGGGTTCATGACTGTGAGGACTGGGGACAGCAGGAACCAGGGTCAGCCCTGCCAGACCAGCATGCCCTGCATCTCTCACTCCTGTGAGGGGCTGAAAATGGGCTTTGCCGCTGGACTTGCTTGGCCTTGAACACTTCTCCACCAGCTTACGCTGTACATTTTCAATCTAAAGATGAGCCACAAGAGTAGTCCAGTAAATAGCCACATATAATTTGCCCAGACTCACCAATGGCTGCAATTTTGCTGCCTTTGTTTCTGTCTTGTGTTCTCTATGGACATCTACGTCTATATATACACAAACTTATCAGCCTATATCTGTGTCAAAATAACATGTATTTTGCTGAATCAACTGAATTGCTGACATCATGACACTCTGAACCCTGGAACCTATGTCTTTCAAGGAAAGTGACATTTGCCTACATTACCATAACCAACAAGCACATTCAGGCCGTGGAACAGAGGTGCAGCATTACCTGCTACAGTACCCGCCTTCGAATGTCCTCAATTGTTTCAATAATGTCTTTTAGAATTGGTTCTTTTTTAAATCCAAGGTCCAGTCAAGGATCACGGATTGCATTTGGCCAGCAGATTTCTTAGTCTCGTTTAATCGGAAACTTGTCTCCCGCCTTTCGTAGTCGTTCTCGTCTACCAGGTTTTGGAGGGTCTGGGCCAATCATCTTGCAAAATGTCCCTTGGTTTGGTTTTATCCAGTTCCTTTCTCGTGCTCAGATCCAGGTTGAGTTTGAACAATTTAAGGTTCTTGATTCCTAGTGAGAAATTGTTATCCAAATATGTTCATCTAATGTCCACTCCTGTGAGCTGGGTAAGAGCATGCCTGGCCCTCTCCTAGCACTATTACCATTGCTAAAAATCTTAGTTAATCTGAAAGGCAACAAGTATGACATTGCTGTTGGTTAAAACTTCACATCTTTGCTTACTTAAGAGATCAGAGCAGCTGCTGGTATTTACTTGTCTATAAATGATCTGTTCATGTACTTTCTCCCAACAGGGTGTCACCATTTTTCTCTTAAGGATTTGTAACGCTCTCCTACATGCTATGGGTATCTAGCGTTCATGGTATTTACTCTGAAGGGTTTTTTTCTATCTCATTTTTTGCCTTTTCATCATATTTATGTTTTTTGACATTATGAAGTTTCTTTATTGTGAAAGTAATACATGCTTATTATTTATAAAAATAAAACAATATAGAAGTATATGAAGTAAAAAATAAAAACCCACCGTGATCCAATTCCACTTCTCGGAGGAAACTCTCAGTAATAGGGTAAGCACGCACACATTCATGACCCAGTAGCCCAGCTTGGAGAACCGCCCTGGTCTCTGGGGTGTGTTTTGAATCAATCTCTCATTCATCCTCATGCATTTATTGGTAAGAAGCCCAGCATCTCCCTCTTGAGGTCTCTCCCAGAATAGTCGGAGAATTCCAGGAGCTAACTCCATCCAAAAGAGACCAGTCCCACTTCCAAGGCCCTGTCCTGCCTGCCAGGGCCTCCATGGTGCCAGCTCTTTGGTTCATGCCAGGAGCTCATTCCTGCTTCCTGAAGTGGGAATGATGCCTGGATGGGTGGGTCCACCATGGCTTCCAGCCCAAGCCAAACATGGCTTCTGTCCCTCACCCTGCCCACCTCTGGCTCTGGGCTTGGGTCACCTGTCCACACCTCTTTTCCCACAGTGAGTTCCCTCTTTTGAGGCATAGGTGTCCTCTTTGCCAGCTGGCCTTTGTCTGGACAATCCCGAAGTGTCAGGTGGAGCTAACTAATTCCTCTGACCTGCACAAGGGAGGACCTGGGACCTAAGCTCATTCCTCCTGGGACTCCCAGGCTGGCCACAAATTTGCCCACCTAGTCTTCTGATTAAGGGAGGAGCAGCTTTGGGAGTTAGCTAAGAGCATGGAGTCAGACCTCTTGAGGCAAGCTCCTTCCCCATCTGTCAGAGGAAGTAACAACAAAAAGCAAAAGGTCCCGTACATTTACTGCCTATGCTTGGCAGAGCGCCGGGCACATAGTAACTGCTCAGTAAATGTGAACTATTATTATACACCCATCTGGAGCTCTCTCATTTTCTTATCTTATAAAAATGAGATCCCCTATACGTATTTTTCTTAGCGTGCTTTTCTCAATTAGCATGCCATAAACATTTCCCTCATCTGCACATGCAGCCTCCTCTCCTGATAAAGGATGGTCTCTGTGCAGATTAAACTCTCCGTAAGGTCAAAATCCTCAGTCTTTGCCTTGCCGGTGTCTTCCATTGCTCTAAATCTTAGGAAATTAGTTAAAGTTTAGTTCAGTTAAATCAGTTAAAGTTTAACTGTGAATCTGTTACCTGCATTTTCATTCCTCTGTCCTGGGAGTGTGTGTTTGTCTTTCTTTCAATCGTCTGATTCCCAATCCGTGGGGGACTGGGATTGTTTTCCTGACTTCAAAAGAGAAGTGGGTGAGAGGTCAGCTTCCACAGCATGAGGCTGTAAAGGATGAGGAGGGACAAGGAAAGCCTCTGCTTAGAGCAGGAAAGGGAAAGGCCTGCTGAGCAAGGGTCCTGGTGGCAGACTCCCTGGCCTCCCCATCGCTGGACCCACCACCACCATTGCTTCTGCTCCAGGAACTGGGAGTCTTTCTAGTTCCTTCCTCACCCCCACCAATGAGTCTTTCAGCAAGTCTTACAGATTTGTTCTAAATATTTTTCACATTTGCCTCTTCTTTCTACCTTCACTGCCACCTCTTTCGTTCTATACCTGCAGAGGTGAGATATCTGTAACGGCCACACCACCTGCATTCTGCCCTTCCCGAATCCGCAATCCGTACTGCAGCCTGTGACAACAGTTTGCATGACCTGGTAAAGCTGAAGCTGTGTGCACTGCAGCTCCTTCCTGATTTTATCAGGACATTGCAATAGAAAAGTCACAGCAACATTGTCTGGAAAGCAAAACACTGGAAACAACCCAATTATCCAACCAATACAGGCATGTATTTGTACCGATACAGTCGTGTATTCGTTTCCTAAGGCTGCTGTAACAAATTGTCCCAAACTTGGTGGCTTAAAACCTTATGGTTCTGAGAATCAGATGTCCAAAACAGGTCTCCCTGGGCTAAAATCAAGGGATCAGCTGGTGTGTATTCCTTCTGGAGACTCCAGGGAGATGCTCTGATTTTTGCCTTTTCCAACTTCCAGAGGCCACCTGCATTCCTTGGCTTGTGGGCACTTCCCATCTTAAAAGCCAACGACGGTGGGTCAAATCTCTTCCATGCTGCCATCTCTCTGACTCTTCCGGCTCCCTCTTCCCCCATTTAAGAAACTGTGTGATTATATCAGGCCACCTGGATAATCCAGGATTATCTCCCATCTCAAGATCAGTAACCTTAATTCCATCGGCAACCTTAATTCCTCCTTGCCATGTAACAGAACATATGCACAGGTTCCAGGGATCAGGACCTGAGCATCTTTGGGAGCCCTTCTATCCCAAGGAGAATGGAGACACACTGTGGCCTCTTCCACTTTCTGGGATGGATTCTCTTTGAAGTTGACCTCACTGGAGCTTTTGGGTCCCCCCCTGTGCCCAAACCCCTTCAGGGACCTGAGAGGAGTTCCCAGTCTCTTTCAAGGCTCCGAGAGGGATCCTTGCAATGTGGGTCACACAGTTAATTAGTAAAAATAATCTGTTCTGGGGTTTGTGATGCTTACATTATTTATCAGCTTAAAAAAAATCTGTAATTTGTTGTGAGTTCTTTTGTCATTCTAAATATGGATTCACCGTTTACCTAATGTTTTATTACAGTCTTACATATTTTTTTAAAGGACCCTGCCAAACTATAAATTTCAGGCCCTACAAAACCAGTGTGTGCTCTGACCAAAGCAGAAGAAACTAATGACCAACAGCGACTCGCACTGACGTGGACGGCTCAAAACTAGGCGGAGTGAAAAAAGCAAATTGCAGAGAAAAATTCACTAAGACTCCATCTGTACATGGTCCAAAACCAGGCAAAACTAAACTATAGGGTAAGTACATACATGGGAAAACAAAAAAGAAAAACAAGAGAATTGTTTACATAATTTCAGGAGAGAGGTCAGGGAGATGTGACCAGGAAGGGGTCCAAAGGGGGCAGTTCTGAGGGAGACTGCTGATGTTTATTATGTGAATTTAAGCAATAGAAACACACAACTGTGTTTGTGTTTCCATGTTACTTGTATGTTTCTGTATTAGCTTTAGAACTGTATATATGTCCCATACTCTCTTGCATGAATATTTGTCATGATTAAAATTTTTATTTTAAAATAATAATTTTTTTTAACTTAAAATTTTAAGCTTACGATTCTGCAGTGACCTCTCAGTACACTTAGAACAAAATCCATACCCCTTGCTGTGGCTTAGAGCCACACGTGTTCCAGCCAGCTCACCTCTCTGATGGCATCTCACACCACACAGCCTGCCCTGGCCCCTGACGTGCATATGGCGGCCTGTCAACCCCCTCACAGCTTCCTGTTATTTTCCTTCTTGGAGCCTGACACAGTCGCAGTTTACAGTGGTATCAGTGCTGTCTTCCCGCCAGACTCAGGGTCCCTGAGGCTGAGCGCCAGGTCTGCTCTGGCCCCTGCTTGGATCTCCTCCACTTCCGAAGAGCTTTAACTTGAGGCTCACTCTGAGGTGGTTGAGGCAGGTGGGAGGACAGGATCTCTAGAAGGAAAGGGAACAAGACCTGGGGATGGTGGGATACGGGATGGGGGAGAAGGAGGGGTGAACAGACGGTGGTCCCCTCACTAAGGAAGACTGGCCTCTACACCCTAGAGGGCTGGGTACCCTCCTGTCAGTAACGTTCTGTGGTTCCTCTTTGTCCAGTGACCAGCCAGAAATCTAACAGAGTCCAACCCCCCCCCACCGGGCTAGGTGTCACTTAGACACCAAAGTGAAAATCAGCTGACATTTGGGGACACCAGAAATCTAACAGAGTCCAGCCAATCGGTTTACAAATGTTGCCTTCTTCCCTACCAGTTGCATTGCTGTGAGGTGACTGGACTGTGCCCACCCTGCCTCTAGCTGTGTGCCCAACGTGGAGTTTTGCAGAACACAGGAGCAGCTCTAGGTGGGAGCTGGGCCACCCTTGGTGCCACAGTGTGTGTGGAGGGGTGCTGCACACACTCCCCAGTCCCCGCCGAGTTACGCATATGGGTAACCATTTGCGAGGCAGGTAGCGGCTGCCCAGAAATGTCTGCATCCTGGTCTCCACACCCATGAATACATTCTGCCAATGGGAAATTGAACTGATCTTGAGGTGGGAGATTATCCTGGATTGTCCGAGTAGCCCAGTGTCATCACAAGGGAGAAGAGTCAGAACGAGGGAGACGGCATCATGACAGGGACTTGACCCGCCATCGTGGGCTTTTAATACGGAAAGGGCCCACAGGCCCAGGAAGGCCGGTGGCCTCTGGAAGCTGGTAACAGCCCAAACCACATTCTTCCCTAATGCCTCTCGAAGGGACCGCACCTGTGGACTCCTGAGGGTTGTTTTAAGCCATCAAGTTACAGCAGCACAGGAGACTATAACCCTGGGTAACCTATTCTTTCCCTAACTCTCCTCAGGGTACAGGTGAGAGCCCCGAGGACAGCCAGGCGTACTCTAGCTCTTAGAAGAAGCTTGGATATGCTCACGTTCATAGCAGCGCTATTTACAATAGTTAAAAGGTGGAAGCAGTGTAAGTGTTCATCAGTGGATGAATGAATAAACAAAAGGTGGCACATCTATACCACGGAATATTACTCAGCCTTAAAAAGGAAGGGGATTCTGTCACATCCTACAACATGGGTGAACCTTGAGGACATTACGCTAAGTGAACTAAGCCAGTGCCAAAAAGAGAAATGCAGCATGACTCTACCCACATGTGGTACCTGGAGGAGTAAAACTCATAGAGACAGAAAGTAGAACGTGGGCTGCGTGGGGTGCGGCGGCGGTGGGGGAGTTAGTGCTTAATGGGGACGGAGTTTCAGTTTTGCCGGTGAAAGGGGTTCTGGAGATGGGTGGCATGACAGCATGTATACCGTCAACGCTACGGAACTGTACACTTAAAAGTGGGTAAGATGGTAAATTCTATATTATGTATATTTTACCACGATTTTACAAATAAAAATAAAAGAAGCTTGGAAAGCAGTGAGCATCATCTTAAATGAAGGATTTCTCACCTTGCGGTAATATGTCCTCTTGCGGTAATATGTAACTCCGTTTGCAAGGAAGGGGCACACAAATTCATTCATTTATTCAATGAAACTGTGTAAGGGATCCCTTACCTAAGGACAGTGGTGGTCATCTATTAACTGGGTGAATTTCTGAGAGAAGTTAAGGTGGTCACAGGAGATGTTAAAGGCTCCTATCCCCTGAGCCATCCGCCTGAGGACCTCATCCATTGTTGGTTTCCTTCTGTATTTGCTCTTTAAAAAGCAGCAGCAGAGCAAGGGGGTAAGTACTTTGTTGTCAGACACACTGTGGCGTGAAACGCAGCCCTGCCACTTAGTAGTTGTGACTTCAGGCAGGTGACTTCACTTCCCTGCGTCAGTGTTCCCAGGTGTAAATTGGAGATTATTACAGGATCCACCCCTAGGCACCGGTAGGAAAATTTGATGAGTCTAAGTGAGGCCAGGCCTTGGCACGCACCAGCATGTGCTGGCCCTTCCAGCAGGAGGATTCGTTCAAGGTCATGCACATTGTGTCAGGAATCATCCTTGGAGCATCTTTGATGAGAAAACTCCTGTGCTCAGCATGGGGACCAACAGGAAAAGTGAGGCAGGTCCCCCACCCTCAGGGAACTCCTGACCTCACAGATTTTCTCTCATTACACCAGTTTCTCCACCTCTGCATGGTGGACATTTGGGGCTAGGTATTCTCAGGGTGGGGGTAGGGGTGCATGCTGTGCACTGCAGGGTGTTAAAGCGGCATTCTTGGCTTCTACCCACTAGATGCCAGTAGCAGCCCCCTAACTGTGACAGTAGTTTCTAGGCATTGCCTAATGTCCTTGGGGCACAAAATCACCTCTGTTTGAGAACTGAACTACACTGCAAGGCAGGAAGCTCTTCATAAAGTACTAGAAGTTGGCAGGGCCTGATAGAGGAGGTGGCCCCAGGGCTGGGCCTTCCAGTTGGCTAGGATTTCCTCACAGGGGTGGGTGGGTGGGGGGTCACTGCACAGCCTTGGCTCAAGTCCCACCTCCCCATATTTTTGGCTGGCCCCTCTTCCTCTGCCTGATCCTGAAGTGCTCCGATCCCAGGGGCTATGTCCATGGCCCCTTGTCACACTTCCCTTGAGAATGGCTGACACTTCCCTGCAAACCCTTCCAATTCCTCATCTCTGGTCCAGACCTCTCTCCTGAGCCCCCTACTCTTTGTCCACCTGCCTCTAGACACCTCTACCTGGAGACCTCCAGGCTCCGCACACCCAGTGTGGCCAGAGTTGCCCCTTCTCCTCCCACCACAGTCTGCGTCCTGACACCCTGTTGACACCTTCAGTTCTCTCTTCTTCATCCCTGTCTTCAAGATGGTCAGTTTGACCTCTGAATGCCCCTGAAATCCAGCGCCTCTTCTCCACCCCCACAGCTGGCTTCACTGCCTACACACGGGTCTCTTAATTCAGTCTTGTCCTCTGTACCCACTAAACACCCTGCAGCCAGAGGAGCCCCTCAAATGCCAGTGTCATCATGTCACACACACTCCTTCCCTTGGACACAAACCTTCCACACTCCCTCTGCCTGGCTGCAAGGCCTGGATCCCTCTCCTGCTGGATCTCCTGCTTGAGCCACTGAGTCACCAAACTTCTGCCTGTACAGTCACCTACCCTCCCCCCACCATGCCTTCACTCCCGCTGTCCATTCTAAGGGCAAGGCCAGCCCCCCATTACCTGTGGAATTTCTAGTGATCCTCCAAAGCCCAGCTCCTGTCTCCTCTTCTGGAAAGTCTTCTCTCGTCTTTGGCCCATTGCCAGAGTTCTTATTTCCACTTGTCCCTGAAGGAAGGATGTTTCAAATCTGGGGGCTGGACCTGTGCCCCCCAGGGCTGCTTTGAGTCCCACAGAGTTGGAAGAGCGCTTGGAGACCCTCTGGTCAAACACCTTCATTCTCCAGCTGAGGGCAACCCCTGGTCCATGAGGCCAGCTGGTGGCTCTCGGTGCCCCGGCCAGGTGCCTTTGGTAGGTCGGCCTCTCCCCCCGACCTTGAGAGACTCTCCTTCCTCACCGGCCTCGGGGACAGTTCCCGCCTCCTCTCTGGCCTCTGCTTCTTGGTCTCCTTTGCTGGTGCCTCCTCTTCACGCCCACCTTCTCATGTCAGTGTCCCCAGGCCCAGTCTTTGTCCTCTTCCTGCCTGCTCTCACTCCCTCTGTTCATGTCCAGGTCAGGGCTTTAAATACTAGCTATGTGCTGATAGCACCCAGATGTGCACCTAAAGCCCAGTGCTCCTGAAATCCACTCAGGATACTTCTATTTCCCTGCCGCCCAGGCATCTGCACCCACGCGTCTGGGAGACATCTCAAACCTAACCCAGCTGGCACTCTCACACCTGCTCCACCCTCAGCCTTCCCTGCCTCAGTTAGTGACAGCTCCACCTTTCATTGTTCAAGCGGAAATCCTTGGGGTCATCTTGGAAACTGACCGTTTCTCATCCCCTGCACTGCAGTCACCTGGGCCAAACTACCATTATCTCTCACCTGGATCACTGCAGCAGCCTCCTACCCTTGCCCGTCTCTGCTTTCTGCAGCCTCCCAACTGTGGTTGACTATCGACCATCACATCCCTCCTCTGCTCAGAACTCTCCAGTGGCTCCATCTCACTCAGAGCAGAAGCCAAGGTCCCTACAATGGTCCACAAACACTTACATGACCTGTGTCTCCTTTACTTCCCTGTCACTACCTTTTAAAAATTCATCTCCTCCTGTCCTCCTTAATTCAGCCATGTTGTACACTCCTGCCACAGGGCCTTTGCACTGGCTGTTCTCTTTGCTTGGAAGATTCTTCCTCCAAGAGTAAGAATGGCTCCCCCTCTCACCTCCTTTGAATCTTTGCTCACATGTCAGCATCTTGTCACATGTCAGGTCCCACGTGAGACCTTTTCTGATCACCCTATTTAAAATTGCACTATTACTTCCCCCTTAACTTGCTCTAATTTTCTTTGCAATTATGGCTTTCTAACATATTATATCATTGACTTCTATATTTATGCTATAGCTTATCTATCTTATCTACTCTGCTAAACGTCAGCTGCACAAGGGCAGGGATCTCTTGTCTCTTGCTCACAGCTGTATCCCAGTGTCTATCCCAGTGCCTGGCACATGGGACATATGCCAATAAGGGCATTAGGGCTCCAAAGACCAGAGTGAGTACTTATCTTGAAAGGACAAGACCACACGTGGTGGAGTGGGGAAGTCATTGGCTTTTGAATCAGTCACCCTCCTTCAGGCTGACCAACCTTGAACAAGTCATTTAGCCATTCTAGACTTCCTCTCTGAAAAATGGAGATGTATCAAGGGCTCAAAAATGCTGGCACACACACATGCGCACACACACACAGGCACATTAGTAAGAACATTACCCCTAGCACTCTAACACAATGTTACAACTTTTCATAAGGGGTTTCATTCAAACCTAGCACTAACAGCAGTGGTAGGTAGAGCCCCTTTTTGATAGATGAAAACTAGACTTTTTTGACAGGTGAAAAAACAGCGGGGAGGCCTGGGCCCCTCCCTGCAGGATTGGACACAGGATGTCTGAGCCGCCCCCCTTCCCAGTCCTTGGGCAGCAGGCCAGTGAGGGTCCCAGGCTAAGGGTGCAGTGCGGGGCTCGGTGCCCAGGGACTACATTTCCCAAGAGGAGTTGCCGGCAGCTCTGCGGCTCCCGGGTTTTTTTAAAGGGCTCGCGTGGAGGGGGTGCTGAGGGTTGGGGCGGTGGAGTCATCTGCTGGCCTGAACACCGCTCTGTGCTGGGTGGGGACCTGGTCTGCTGCGATGCCCGGCCGGAGTCAAGAAGCACTTACGCCCCGCAGTGTCAGCGAGGCGAGCTGAGGCCAAGCCAGTCTGGAGGCAGCCTTTCCTGGTCTTGTGCCCCTCGGCCTCAGACTCTGCGCCCAACTCCCGGACCCCTCCCTTTCCCTCCAGCTCTCCGGAACAGGGGGAGGGGCAGCGACTCTCGCAGCTGGGCGGGAGAAGCCGGCGGGAAGCCCATGCGACACCGAGAGACCCCTCCTTCCATTTCTGGCTTCAGTTCCGGGAGAGAATTTACTGGTCGCTGGGGTGGGCGGGGACATGGGATGTAAGAGCTGCAAAACGAAGTGAAGGCCTGGGGGCACCAGGAGGTGAGCCTCACAGTGAGCCCCATATCCCTCCTTCCGAGTCCCGCGGCCTCCAGGGTAAAATGGGGGTTATGGGGGGAGTGAATACTTGCCTGCCTCTCCAGGCTGGAGGCTCAAAGGACCAAGAAACCGGTGGAGAGCACTTTGCAAACTAATGCGTGGTGTGGTGTAAATAAAATTATTTCATCATCACGCCACTGGATTCATCCAGTCCTTATTCTGAGACATAACACTGACCTGGGGTGGGGGGGAATGACACGTCCCTGGAAGTGAGGATGGGAGGTGGAACATCATCTCGGGCCTGGGGGTGGCTATTTGGATGCCCGTTTCCCCATCCGGATCTTAGTGGGAACCAGAATTGTCTTTGAAAATAACCAAAATAAATGCACCAGAATGTTGTGTTTTCACATCAGGAAACTGGGTAAGTGACATCCAAATAAGAACCTTGACCTCTTGAACTAACCTGGCCCTTTGTGGCTTCCCTTCCAAGCCTGGGCCACCAAGATAAGCCAGTGCAGAAGGCATCAGATACCAAGTCTCAAGGCTCCCCCTTCCTCCTCCCAATCATTTGGATTAATCCATCCTTTGGTGGGGGGAGACCCATAGATTTCTCTGACCTCAGAGACTCCCAAATCCTCCTCCGCCAGCCTCCCCCCAGCTACGTCTTCGTGGCTGCCCCCACCTTCCGGGTCTAAACCCTCCGAACCCTTCCCCACTCCCTTACCCAACAGCCAGTGTCTGCGAACAGCTCCCGGACCATCCCAGAGACACCTTCATCTTTTTGACCAGCGACAACCCCCCAACTTACAGGGTATTGTTTAAATGAAGAGTGCACGCCTCTGCTTAGGGAATAAAGAGGGTTTGTTGTGGAAGGGGGATCAGGGAGCGAGCATCCCAGAATTTCAATCCAGGGCCCCTGCCAAGCACATAAGATGTGCACATAAGATGTCTCACGGACAAGAGGTACCAGGATCTCTGGGGTCACTTCCGCTGGTCTCTGCACTTCTAATGGCCCCTCGGAGCCCCCACTCCCTACAGATGGTGGCGCCCCTTGTCTGCCTCATCTGTACCTGCCAAGCAGCACGGGAAAAGATGTATACATTTTAACAAAGACTGCATCCTCCGAGCAAAATGGCGGTGGTCCTGGCCACGGCTCCCTGAACTGCACACTTTCTAAGGATTAGTCAGGATACAAGGAACACGACCCTCGCCCCTGGACCGCTCCCCCAGAAACCCGGCTTTCCCAAGCTCCCAAAGCACTCAGGGCCTCACCTCATCCCAGGGCCCCCCACAAGTCTTGTTAGAGCGTCTGGGACAGCTTCTCCATTTGGACCCCTCCCCCCGGCCCCAACTACCTTTAAGGGGCCTTGGGACGGGGACTGGACCCCCAGACTGGGCCTCAGGCTGGGGACAGCAAACTCTGCCTCTGAATCCCAAAACTCCTAGACTGAAGGAGGCATATAAATTAATTCCCCATTAGGAGTTATGGGCGATGTGGGGGTCTTTGAAGAGAGAATGCGACTCGGAGACCCTTCCTCATTCCCACAGGGGACGCAGGCAGCATTGGGGGTGCAGTCTCACGAGAGAGCCTCGATGCAGAGGTCAGGGGGTTTGCTGGGGGCGAGACGGTAGAGGAGGGGGAAGGGACAAAGTTTGAAAGTGCCTTTCCAACTCTTCCAGGCAAAGTTTGCTTAAGGGCCCCAAGGTCAGAGAGGGGGTAGAGGTGCAGAGACCCCGGTGGTGGGATGACCCCCGAGAGGTGACCGGACCCCGGGGGAGCGACCCCTCCCCCCTGTCCCGGCTTGGCCCGGCTGGGAGTCGCCCGGCTTGGGGCCGCGTGTGTTAGTTGGGGTCGCTTTCCAGCAGCTCCACCCGGCTCCGGGGCCCCGCTGCGGGCCGGGAGCGGGGTCCCCGGTAGCCTTAGGCGGGAGCTTTGCTATGGGGGGTTCCCCGCCCTGGGGCTCCCCGACCCCGCAGAGCCAGCCCCCCGCAAAGGGGAAATGAGCCGGCGCGCCGGCGGTCCTCGGCGCCGTTTGGGGAGCGTGGTGGACGCGGGGGGCGGCGACCAGGCCGGCAGGCCGCCCGGCGGGGGAGCCCAGGGAGCCAGGCAGCGTTCCTGGGCGGCGGCGGGGAGCGGGAAGGCCCGGGCCGAGGGGAAAGGTCGGATTTGCTCGGCGGAAGAAACACAGATGGCGGCGGCGCAGCGCCATTCCGGGCCGGGAGCAGGCAGCCAGCAGCCCTGTCCTCACCGCGGTCCGCCCGCCGCCGCTAAATACCCGGATGCGGCGCTCGAGCGCCAGACGCGGAGCTTGGAAAAGGGAGGCAGAGGAGGCGGAGGCAGAGGCAGAGCCCAGCGCCGACACCGACCGACACACCGACGGGGCTGGGCCACACAGACCCGGCCCAGCGAGTCCTCGCGCGACCTGAGCCAAGTCCCCGAGAGCCGGGCTCCGGACCCGCCTGGGGGCGCGGGCGGGAGAGCAGATCCCGAGTAAGGCTTTCCTTGGCCTCCGACGAGGGCTGGCCCTTTTGAAGGCGCCTTGTTCAACAGCAGGACCAGACAGGCCACCATGACCGAAAACTCCTCGTCCACCCCTGCGGCCAAGCCCAAGCGCGCTAAGGCCTCTAAGAAGTCCACAGATCACCCCAAGTATTCGGACATGATCGTGGCTGCCATCCAGGCGGAGAAGAACCGTGCTGGGTCCTCGCGCCAGTCCATCCAGAAGTACATCAAGAGCCACTACAAGGTGGGTGAGAACGCCGACTCGCAGATAAAGTTGTCTATCAAGCGCCTGGTCACCACCGGGGTCCTCAAGCAGACCAAAGGGGTGGGTGCCTCGGGGTCCTTCCGGCTGGCCAAAAGCGATGAGCCTAAAAGATCAGTGGCCTTCAAGAAGACGAAGAAGGAAGTCAAGAAGGTGGCTACGCCAAAGAAGGCAGCCAAGCCTAAGAAGGCTGCCTCCAAAGCCCCAAGCAAGAAGCCCAAAGCCACTCCAGTCAAGAAGGCCAAGAAGAAGCCAGCTGCCACGCCCAAGAAAACCAAAAAACCCAAGACTGTCAAAGCCAAGCCAGTCAAGGCATCCAAGCCTAAGAAGGCCAAGCCAGTGAAGCCCAAAGCCAAGTCCAGTGCCAAGAGGGCGGGCAAGAAGAAGTGACAGTGAGGCTTTTCTTGTGGACACTCCTGCCCGTCTCCTATTTTCTGTAAATAACTTTTCTTCTCTTGATCTTCACCTGCAACCTTTGCCCCTTTCTATTTTGACTTTATTAAGAGACTGAATTTGGATTCTTCAGAAATTAGGGAGTAATTCATTTTTCTTTAACCAGTTGTGCAAGGACAGCATCAACAAATCTCATCTCTATAATGATGAGAATGTACTTATATTTTGTTTTGTTAACTTGTTATTAATCTACTTGTGGGTTGAGGGATTGGGGTGGGTTTGCATTTTGTTTAGTTGGTTTGTTCTCTGTGAAGGGAAAAGGGGGGAAATGGCCAAGACAGACAGCTTGTTCTGGCTAGATGAGAGGGAGCCCAGGAATTCAGATTTGTAGGCGTGTCTAAGGCAAGCAAGCTTCGAGTTGAGCTCCCCTTGTGAGAGTTTCAGAACCTTGGTGGGGAGAAGAGGGGATGGCAGCAGCTGGACAGCAAAGGAAGAAGGTGGAAAAAAAACCTCTGGGCTGACTTCCACCTCGATGAGCAATGGGGAGTTCAAATCGGTTCCTACTCGCTTCAGTTAGTTTGCCCCTGTGGCCTCCCTATTGTCCTAGGGAAGGGGAGGGGGGTCAAAGTGACAGCTGGTCTGAGAAGCTGTGGCTTCTCAGTGAGCTGGAAACTAGCCTTTGGGGGGTTCTTTGTGGCTTCGGAAAGTCTTGTTAAAGGGAGTGGAAACTCGGGGAAGGGTGGGGACTCGGTCAGCCAAGTGCCTCAGTGTGCCCTGTTGAAACTTGGGTTTTTCCATACAATTCAATTGTATCCTAGGAGGACTTTTTCACTTCCCTTGCTTTTGGTTCGTCCTGTACAAGAAGAGGTGGCTTTGTGGGGCTCCTGTCCTGCCATCAGCCACTTAACCTCTGACCTCTTTACTTCTCAGTCCTTTTAAAAGTAGTTGTAGATGGGGGAGGGGATAGTGGGCAGGGAGTGGACAGTAAGACATACCGCAGGCGATTTTGAATTGCTAAGTAGTTTTGCAGAGGTTTGTGTGTATGTGTGTATATGTATATATACATATCTAGGGCTAGTACAAGTTTCACACCCGGGAGCTGGGAAAAAAATCTGTACAGTCGTCTTTTAAAAAAGGAAAACGCGCACTAGCGCTTCCACCCCCACCTTTTTTTTTTTTTTAACAAGTGTTATTTGTGCCGGGAAGAATTTGTTGTCTTTGTAATTTTAAAACTTTAAAATAAAATTGAAAAAGGAAAAAAAACCAGCGGTGTATTTTTCCTCATAATTAAGACTGGAGAATGTGGAGCGATTGGGCGAGTGAGCAGGAGGGAAATTCGCGGCGTCTGCACCTGGGAGTGGGGGAGGGTTCCAGGAACCGGACGGAAATCCGGACGACTTAAGAGCCGGAGGGTACAGAACGCGCCTCAGCCTGCTTCTAGCTTCCTGCCTTTGGCGTCCAGAGGGCACCCCCTTTCCTTCCAAAAGGTGGGTAAGGGGGCAGGGGATGGGAATTGGGTAGCGTCCGGCGAGCTGCGCCCTGACGCGCGTTCCTCCGCGCGGTCTCTTCCCCTCCCCACGCTCGAACTCTCCAATCTTCAACTTACACAGAATCCACTTTCCTCGCTCAGGCCCCGCCCAACCGTGTCTAGATCCGCCCCCGGGCCGTTTGGCTCCGATTGGCTCCCGGGGCCCCGGCCTCCAGCCACGTGACCAGGCAGCGGCAGAGGTACGCTGGGCCCCGGTTTGGGCAGGCGCGCTGCGGCGAGGTGGGCGCAATGTGGACTGGTCGCGTCCTTCGCGCTACGCTCTCCGAGGCCCCCCGCGGCCGCCGCGCGCAGTCAGCTCTGGCCCAGCTGCGTGGCCTCCTGGAGGAGGAACTGGAAGGGATCCGTGGGGCTGGCACCTGGAAGAGCGAGCGGGTCATCACGTCCCGTCAGGGGCCGCGCATCCACGTGGACGGAGTCCCTGGAGGTAACTCCCCTTCCAGGGAATTGTCGAACCTGGCCGGGTGTTTGAGGGTCCTTCCCTGGCTTGTGCTGGAATGGCGGTCCTGGAGACAGCGGGCAGGCTGGAGCTCTTGCTCACGTAGTCACTGGCACCTTTCCTGCCAATCTGTCAGACGTTATGGCTTACCAGTGTTACTCTAACCTGGTTAAACCAGTTTCCACGGAGGAAGGTGATTTGCCTTTGAGCAGGGCTGGACCAAGACCCAGCTGTGTGAGAACGTGAGAAAAAAGGAGACACCCAGCTGACTCCCACATCGCCAATTCAAGGAAGGGTGGTGGGAAGACAGAATAAAAAAAACCCTGCATTCCTGGAGCTGCTGCTTTGTGCAGGCCTCTGCGAATTGTTGCACGTGGACTCCTGCAAACCTTGAAACCTAGGAATGACTAATCCCGTTTTACAAATGAAGAAGCTGAAACTTAGAAATATGAAGTGGCTCGCCCAGTACTCCCAGCTAGCTTCAGGCAGAGCTAAGCTTTGTTCTAGGTCCTTTGGTATGTTGGAGCAGGAAGGTCAGCTAACAGGCCAGCAAGGCCAACTTCATGGCCAAAGTCAGTGAGCAAAGGACTGTTGCAGGAGTAACACTGTGAATTAGCCCATGGGGCCTCCCTCATTTCTGTCTAACCAGTAATCACTGCCTGTCTTGTCTGTGCCAGGCCCTAGGGGGTTACTGGTTATAAACAGGCTCCCAGACCTGCCTTCTGCTCCGGAAATAGGCATGGAATTCTTACTCCTTTACCCATTTGTAAATGGTCCCAGGTAATGCCTATCTTCCCCCAGGGAAAGCTTGGAGCAGGTCACATGATGGGAAATTAGGAGACCCAAGTTCTTATCCTATCTTTGTGTCTCCCAGGCTGAATGGACCTTACCCTTCCAGGGTCAGCTATATTCCCTTTGGGCTTTACAGTTCAGGGGTTGAGGTCTCAAAGGCACCCGCTTTGAGCATGGGATTCTGTACCAGGCAGTGAAGTCAACTGCGGAGTTTGAGGACCACAGCAGGCATTTGACGCAGCCCTCTTCTTTTACCCATGAGGGAACCAAGGACCAGGATAAGGGCCTGCTGTGGTCTTCAGGGATAGGAGAGAAGCCTGTGAGGCGGGGCTAGGTTCCTCCTCAGGTGGAATGTGATTCAGAACCAGTTTAAGCTTATCGTCTTCAGGGCACCGCACTGAGAGTCCTTTCCTGCCCGTCTCTCTCCTGCAGCTGTTGGATTCCAAGCCTCCTAAGGGCCCCCAGAATGATCATATAGCATGGTTTTTGCCTCGTCAAGGGTGAATCCAGGTTCATTTCCTCTCTGCGTTCTGAGGACCTGGCATTGCCACCTTTCCAGGCTCTTCCTTGCCCTGAGCTGCTGTCTGTCCTCTACCTCAGGAATCCTTAACTTCTGTGCCAACAACTACCTGGGCCTGAGCAGCCACCCTGAGGTGATCCAGGCAGGTCTGCAGGCACTGGAGGAGTTTGGAGCCGGCCTTAGCTCTGTCCGCTTCATCTGTGGGACCCAGGTACACACGGGGTATTGTGGGGAGTAGGGGTGGGTGGGTGGCTTGTCCTCAGCATTGGGTACCGACCCCAGCTGTCTGCTTCCCACAGTAAGCAGGGATGGTGTAGGCAGCTCAGTTCATCCCACAGCTTTGGGCCCACTCTTAGCCCCAGAGCTGTTTGCTAGAATGACTAGGTTCAGGCTTCTGTTTTGCGACAAAAGGAATTTTACCTCTCTGAGCATCCATTTCCCCACCTGCAGAACAGAATCCTCACTCCTGTCCCCTTATAGGAAAGGAACAATAGAAGGCAGGGATTGAGATCCAGACCCTGAGCTCAGTTCCCAGCATCACTGTTCAGTGGCTCTGTTACCATGAGCAAGTGTCTTAACCTCTCTGTGCCTTAGTCCCTCTTCCTTGGTGAAATGGGGACAGTAGTACTTCATAGGATTGTTACAAATCAAATAATTCATACACATAAAATGCTTAGAGCAGTGCTTGGCACAAAGGAGTACTTAATAAATGTTTGTTATTTTATTTTGTAAATGTTACATAATAAACTGAGGTGATCCAGGCAGCTCTGTGGACACTGGAGGAGTTTGGAGCCTCCAAACGTACAGTACTATGTACCAGGTACTGTTTTAAGAACATTACAAATTATTAATTCACGAAAGCTGATAACGATCTTAAATGATAGAAGCTATTTATGGCCTTGTTGTAGAGATGAGGACACTGAGACCCAAAGTTAAGTGACTTGCCTAAGGGCACACAGCCTGCGTTGTTGCGATTTGGACCCAAGTGGCCTGGCTCAAGAGTCCATGCCCCTGATCACTTGTGATTATTCTTACCTGTCCTCAGAAAGGGGAAGGTGAAATGAGGGTCAGAGGTGGAACTCCTGACTCTGAACCAGGGCACTTTCCAACCAGACCCTCATCCAGACTGCACAGCTTTCAAATCTAAGAATTCAAAGCCCAAATGGACCTAGAGTTACTCAAGTAATCCTCTTTGCCATTAAGCAACCAAAAATGGCAATCATTTTGATATCAAGGAGCACATCTTCTCGTGCCATCAGCACCCATAATTCTGCCATCAGACCTCCATTACAAAGGAAGACCTGACCACCTAGCAAGGCCCTAATTCCTCAGTGAGAACCATCTGCCACCTTCCTGTTGGCTCTGGGAGAACCTTTGTGGTGAAGGAAGAAGGGAGAAACCAAGGCTGCGGGCCTTCGGGCTTGGTCTGTTGGCAGCCCTCTAAGCCTGTGTCCCCAGGACTTGTCCCATGTGGCCTTGCAGATATTAACACCTGTTTGACTCGCTTTCTTCAGAGCATCCACAAGGATCTAGAAGCAAAGATAGCTCTCTTCCACCAGCGAGAGGACGCCATCCTCTATCCCAGCTGTTTTGATGCCAACGCAGGCCTCTTTGAGGTGTGTAGGGGCTGTGGGTGGAAATTGTGAGGCCTATTAGGCTGTGGAAGACTTGTCAGGAGAACCTGGTAGATGCCAGGGTCATGCCTAGAGGCTCCAGGGCATTTAGAGGGAAACATACATCGGCTGGAAGGCTAGGGGTACCAGGGGCCACACACTCTCCAAACATGCCTTCACCTGCTCTTACTAGAGCAGGGTCCTGGTCTAGCCCAGTCCTGGGGCTCTGGGGACCCAGATAGAGACAGAGGGCTCCTTGTCTCCCTGCTTAGAGGAATGCCCTGGCTGGCAGTGAAATTTGGAGTCATGGGGGCCAAAGTGGTTGGATAATGGCTCTATTCCAACTGGCTTCCTCCAGGCCTTGCTGACCCCAGAAGATGCAGTCCTGTCGGATGAACTGAACCACGCCTCTATCATTGATGGCATCCGTCTATGCAAGGCCCACAAGTACCGCTACCACCACCTGGACATGACTGATTTGGAGGCCAAGCTACAGGAGGCCCAGGTGGGGCAAGGCCCAGCAGTTCCAGGGCAAGGGCTGGGTTTACCCTCAGCCTTCCCCCTGGTGAAGGAAGCAAGGCATGGAGAGGCCAGCTCCGCACTCATAAAACACCCTGAAAGTTTGTAACAGCCAAGATTTGAGCCCAAATCCCTCAGACCCCAGGCTTAATCCCACCGTCCCATGCTGCCTTGAGCTTTAGCAAGCCCCTTATATGTGACTGGCCCCACTGCACCCTGCCCTCTGGGAGAGGGGCCTGAGCATTCTCACCTCCCAGGGCTAACTGTGGCCGCAGCCTACCTTGAAAGAGATGGGTAGGGCTCAGAGAGGCCTAAAGGAGGGAGTGGAGGTTCCAGCCGCACCTGGAGCTACTGATGTGCCCTCCTCTGGGCCAGGGGAGCTCTTAGGGCACAAGCAGCACAGCACATGGGTGGTTTGGTGCAACTTGAGAGACTGACCACTGATGCCAGCCACCACCTGTCTGTGTCTTCGGTTTAGAAACATCGACTGCGCCTGGTAGCTACTGATGGGGCCTTTTCCATGGATGGTGACATTGCGCCCCTGCGGGAGATCTGCCGCCTCGCCTCTCAATATGGTGCCCTGGTCTTTGTGGACGAATGCCATGCTACTGGCTTCCTGGGGTCTACAGGACGGTGGGAGCACATGGCACCTGAAGCCTCGGGTTTGGCTTCTAAGTGGGTGGGAAACCAAGAGGCCAGCCCAGCCCAGCCCAACCCATGATCCCTGGGCTCTCAGGCGGCCAGTGATGGCAGTGGCAGCTTCCCTTGCAGGGGCACAGATGAGCTGCTGGGTGTGATGGACCAGGTCACCATCATCAACTCCACACTGGGGAAGGCACTGGGCGGAGCATCAGGTGCCTGGAGGGTTGTGCCCCTGGGGTCCCCTTATCCACATGCAGGGCTCAGGAGGGGTCTCGGGGAAGGTGAGGTGGGAAGACGTGGGGCTGCGGAGAAGAGGGCCGCATGGACTGTACTCCCGGGGGGAATTGGGGTGGGATCTGGCTCCTGGCCTCTCACTGCCCCCACCTCACTGCACTTCTTCTCAGGGGGCTACACGACAGGACCTGGGCTCCTAGTGTCCCTGCTGCGTCAGCGTGCCCGGCCCTACCTGTTCTCCAATAGCCTGCCACCTGCTGTCGTTGGCTGTGCTTCCAAGGCCCTGGACCTGCTCATGGACAGCAACACCATTGTCCAGTCCATGGCAGCCAAAACCCAGCGGTGCGGTCCCTAGCAGGGGAGGGGCGGGCTGAGTGGGAGGGCAGTGAGGGCCTGCCCTGTGTGCCTGCCCAGGCTCATAGCTCCATGCCTACAGATTGTACCCCTACCAGCACCACATCCCCAGTGGGTGGCACTGGGACTCGGCTCTCTTAGCCAAGGTTGCCCACCTCCTTCTTCTCTGTCTTCGCCTCTTCCTCCCATTTCCTGGTGCCCCTCCTTGTAAATGACCCTGTGTCCCCCTCATTGTACAGTCTTTTATTCCCACCTCCCTTCTGGTCTGCCTGGCTCCCCATCTGCCTTTCTCTGGGTTTTTGCATCTCTGTCTTTGTTGGTCCCTCCTGTGGACTTGGGCAAAGATCTTGGATCGCGTGACCATCAGGAGTGGGTGTGAATGTTCCCCAGCCCCCAAGCCACCTGTAACACCCAGCTTGTGCCCACAGGTTCCGCAGTAAGATGGAGGCTGCTGGCTTCACCATCTCAGGAGCCAATCACCCCATCTGTCCTGTGATGCTCGGTGATGCCCGGCTGGCCTCTTGCATGGCCGATGACATGCTAAAGAGAGGTGAGAAGGCTGGGACAAGAGAAGGGAAGGGGACTCTTAGACTATAAATATTCTCCCACACCCCCACCGCACAATCCCTCTCAGACCAGCTGTCTAGGATTGAAAGCCCCCGGCCGTGAGGCAGCCCTGTGTCTGGGAAGCCCTGGGCCAGCCCACTCCTCTTTGATCCTCAGGAAAGTGGCATCTGTATGTCATGTCCTCAAAGCCCCACATTGGCCCTTTGTACCTTCTCAGGCATCTTTGTCATTGGGTTCAGCTACCCCGTGGTCCCCAAAGGCAAGGCCCGGATCCGGGTACAGGTCTCAGCCGTGCACAGCGAGGAGGATATCGACCGCTGCGTGGAGGCCTTCGTGGAGGTGGGCCGGCTGCATGGGGCGCTGCCCTGAGCCCTGGGTAATGACCCACAGGCTAAACGCCCCCTCCCTCCACAGTGACAAAGGGGACCTTTGATCGGCCTAGGCCGCAGGTGCTGAGCCCTGTCGGAGCCCTAGGCCCAGGCCTGTGCTTGCTGTGTGAGTGTGAAGCAACAGCGTGGAAACTGGCTGGGACGTGTTGTTCTGCTTTATTCTCTCTGAGCAGGCCCAGTCTTGTGACCAATGAAGAATCGGGCAGAACCTGGAGCTCTGAGGGAAGGCTTCTGAGGACTAGTAGATCTCAGAGCTGACTGCCTCCCCCAGATTAAGATGAGACCCAGGCAGCTGAGAGAACACAGGCAGGGGCCACCATTTGGCCCAGTGGGTTCTGTGCTGTAGTAGAGGGCAGCCGAGCACCAGCCCTGCAGGCCCTTTCCCGTGCCACCCACCCCATGCTCTGCAGGCTCCAGAGTCTAGCCTTGGTGAACATCTTGCCCTCTGCTTCTCATCCTGGATGGTCTACAGCTGTCCAGATAAGAGAGGGCTGAGTACCCAAACCCATGTTTGAAAGGACAGGGCTCTGACTCAGGCCCCAAAGGATAGAATGTGGGTCACTACTGGAAAAGTGTCTGACAGCCTGTAACCATGTGTTCTAGTCCACTTTGTCCCTGGCTTTGTGGCCTCAGGCCCCATCCCCTATGTGTGCCTCAGTTTCCCCCGGCTGTACCAATAGTAGGTATTCTGACTGGACCCTTTCCATCTCGCCTATCCCGAGGTCTACTAGCCTGCGGATCAGCCGCCAGGGGGCGCAGCGAACTCAGGCTCCGGCCGCTGCCGCCCCGCCCTGCCCCCCTCCAGATTCCACGCCTTGACACTGTTGCCGTGGCTCCGCAGGCAATATCCCATTCACCCTTGTCGCCAGCAACGACCCGCTGCTTCCCTACAGGAGATGAAAACCCCCTTATCACTGCCGCTGCTCCCGGTTTTCCCCTCCGCTGCCCTCCCCTTTCACCCTTAAGGGCACCTGGTGAGGGGTGGGGAACGGGTTCTGAGTCAGCGCAGCTTCAGCCTCAGCGTGGTGTGGCCTTGGGAAGCTCTTTAATTTGCTGGCGGTAGGGCAGGGAGATTGAGAAGGCCATTAACGGAAACTAGGACCTTGTCTCTGTCGACGCACACACCCAGCATCCCTCTCCACACCCACCCCCTCAGCCTGGACGTCTGGGGAGGGACCATCCCTGGGAGCTCTTGCCCAGTCCTGCATTGTCTGAACGCTGGAGTTCTGGGGATCCTAGCCTCTGATTCGGAGCAGCTTGAGGCTGTGGTCCAGGAACTCGGAATGTTGGGGAATGCGGCCCGGGAATGAGGGCTGCTGTGGCCGCATCAGCAGCACGAACGCTTGCTGCCACCACGGGGTAGGGCGCCTGGGGCCAGCCCAGGAACCAGGCAGCAGCTGGACGTGTGAGGTCTGCGGAGGCTGGCGGGTCTTACCCGGCGGCCACGAACAACCGCGCGCCAACCGGTCGCAGTTGGTGTGGCATACCCAGCGGGGCCAGAACCCGGGCCGCGTGAGGCGGCACCAGGCAAGGTCCACCTGCTAGTGGCGCGGAACCCCCGCCGCCTTCCCCAGCAGCTCCCGGGCGCCCAGCGCGGGCAGCGGCAGCACCGCGACGTCTAGGCCAGCTTGCTTCTGTAGCACGCCGTGCTGTCAGCCAGTGGGGCTCCGTGTGCGGAGTTGCGCAGGTCCGGGCCCGCCGCCATCCAGAACGGCCCGGAGGAGGCGCCCACAGGTGCAACAGCAGCTCCGGGACCACTGGGCGCTTACTGGTAGCCGCCAGGTGCCCATGAAGGGCTTTAGGGCCGTGCAGGGGCCTGGGCAGGCCACCAGATCAGTGGCACTAATGCATCTTGCGGGCCGGGGACCACCCTCAAGGCTTGCGGAGTTAAAAGCCAGTGCCGCCGAGAGCACCAGCGGCACGTGCCTACTCAGGCGGTGACATCCTGCCCTTCCAGCCCTCCGTGGTCGCCTGATACACATTCTTTTGAAGGTTTCACATGAAAAACACTGAGGTTACAACATTCACCCATATTATCAAGTTTCCCCCATATCCCACTCAAGTCACTGTCCATCAGTGTGGTAAGGTGGCACAGAGTCACTGCTTGTCTTCTCTGTGCTACACTGTCTTCCCTGTGACCCCCCACACACCATGTGTACTGATCTTAATACCCCTCAACCCCCTTCTCCCTCCCCACCCACCCTCCCCTACCCCTCCGCTTTGGTAAGGCTAGTCCCTCTTGGAGTCCGAGTCTGCTGCTTTGTTCCTTCAGTTTTGCTTCGTTGTTACACTCCACAATTGAGAGAAATCATTTGGTATTTGTCTTTCTCTGCCTCTGTTTTTATCAGCTGCTCCCCCTGCCACTGCGGGCAGCTCTTTGCACTAGCACTGTCGAAGCCCAGCCCCTGTGGAGGAAGGGTATTGTGCATCCAGGCTTCTGGCAATCAACGGTGTGTCGCTTTAATTCAGGGTGTTTGTGGATCTCTGTCAGTGATTCTAAAATCTTGCCAGAGCCCAGAAACCTACAATTCTGCCCTTCAGTGATCATAAGATCTTACCATTCTTTAATTTGGTTCTGATAGCTTTGAATTCAGGTTTGGCAAGTCTAGATATGATTCGAAATACCAATTCAGTGAGTCTCTGCTTCCAAAAGTTCAGGAATGTTCTGCTTCAGATGAGTGACTTAAGGCTTTAGAGCAGCACCTCTGAGTATTGGTGAAAACCCCAGTGGCTTTTCACCAGGGCCTGCCTCAAAAGCAAATTCTGATGTCATCAATGTCCCCTGAGGCTATTTTCTCTCCCCTTTCACAGACTACCCTCCCAGTTTCTAGAAAGACTCCATATGGGCTCCATATTATTCTCCCTTAACTCTGCAAACTGCCCTCTGCCCCCACTACAATTGTCCAGTTTACCAACAGCCTTGTTAAATCCCATGCACCCTTCCACCAGGCTGGCCTCTCTAACCCTGGAAACATTTGGGCATGTGGCCCATTCCTTCTCCAGGAGATCCAGGCCAGGACCCCATGACTGAATCACACAGCCATCCACCAAGACCATTAATTAGCCTCCGGCTTTTGCTTGGACAAGAGGATCCTAACATCACTCATTATATCGTTTCCCCTCTGTCCACCCTTTTCATCCCAGGCCATGAAAAACTAGTTACAAAATAAGCAGTTCATCTCCCTGTTTTAGGACTTTCACTAGTTCCCATTGCCCTCAGGCTTCAGACTCCTTGAAGGATCACAAAAACCCTGCAGTATCCAGCCAGACTGAACCCCTGGAACAACCCCTGGATGGGTCTTGGGATTCTCAGGGCCTGGGTGAGGAGCCCATCTGAAGCCTGCAGAAAGGAGCCTCATTCTGGTTTCCTAGCCTAGAACACCCCATTGAAGACTAGGAATCTTTTCTGAGCTTGGATTGGAGCCCTACTTAGAGCAGGGAGCGGGAGGAGGGGGCCTAGAGTCATCAGACAGGGCCACAAGGTGGAAGTGCCAGGAATGGGCTGGGCTCTGGGCACGGAGGGGTTAACTAAAAGCGAATCTCAGAGAGCGAGATCAATGGGTTACTCACTGCAGAAAGAGGCAGAAGCAACGCAGAGAGGCAAAGAGCCAGGCAGAGGAGCATGCCACCTGAGGAAAACCAGAACCCGAGGAGGAGGTGGCCAGTGGCTCCTCCGGAGGCAGTGCCCAAGTCCAGCTCACCAGAGGGGCCTTAGCGGAGAAGTGAGAGGCAGACCCGCACCTGCAGGAAGGCAGCGAGGGGCAGTCACTGAGCCAGGAGGCAGCCTCAGCGGGGCCGGTTCACCTAGAATCCAGCAAGGGTCCAGTGCCCAGAGTTGAGGTGGGTATCGTCCATCCCGGGTTTTGGAGGCCTGCTGCATGCTGGATGCTGGGGCAGTGGGGGTGCAGATAATGCCTTTCTTCCCTTCTTGCCGGGTCCCCTTGCCTTTAATTTGTACAACCACTCGAGAGGTCCCAGGCATTAATGGATCCACAAGTATGCCCAGGTTGTCAGAGGCACCACCTGTTACAAGCTCTTAGATGAGTGCTCCAGCCTGGGAGTCAGTACCAAGCTGGCAACAGCCCCAGATCTGCCAAAGTGTGGTATTAGCATCCCGTGTTGTTTCCCCCCTCCAACCACCACCACTGAGCTCCAATTCCCTCATGCAAAAAGAGTAGTGGCCTGTATGGTTTTCCCTGTTGTGCCACTGTTGGGGGTGGAGAGTGGTTCTCAGTATACTGGGCTCTCCAATGACTCAGGGATGTTACCTGTGTTTTACTGACCTTGACCCACATCCAAGAGTCTTCCTGGGGCTTCAGATCCCCACGGAGAAGTAAGGAAAATATACCAGCTCCTGGGGTTGGAGTTGCCCTCTCCCCTCATCTGCTATGTCTCTGCCGGACTCTGCCTGTGCCTTTACCTGCCTCATTGGTTGGAGGTGTCCATCAACTACCTAGTCAGCCCTTCACACCCTGGGCTATGGAGGTGTTCCCTAGGAGACTGAGAAATGCATCTCAGACATCAATGTGACTGTGCTGGGAACTTGCACAGTGGGACTCTGATAATTTTGGCTCTGTGCCCCCACTCCCATCCTCATTCCCCATGAGCTTTAAGCCCAGAAGACCTGGCCAGGCCCAGGCTGGGGGCCTTGGTCGAGTTACCAGAGCAGTGGCCTCCTGTCTGAGAACTTTAGCTTCTCTTCCTCAGGTGCCCATCTGATGGGGACATGGCTGATGCACAGAACATTTCGCTAGACAGCCCAGGGAGTGTGGGGGCTATGGCAGTACCTGTGGTCTTTGCCCTCATCTTCCTGCTGGGCACAGTGGGCAATGGGCTGGTGCTGGCAGTGCTGCTGCAGCCCAGCCCTAGTGCCTGGCAGGAGCCGGGCAGCTCTACGGACCTCTTCATCCTCAACCTGGCAGTCGCCGACCTCTGCTTCATCCTGTGCTGCGTACCTTTCCAGGCTGCCATCTACACATTGGACGCCTGGCTCTTTGGGGCCCTTGTTTGTAAAGCTGTGCACCTGCTTATCTACCTCACCATGTATGCCAGTAGCTTCACACTGGCTGCTGTCTCAGTGGACAGGTGTGCTGTGTGGGGGACCTGGTTGGGTCTGGGCGAGGGAGGGAAGAGCTGAGATCACTGGCCTTAGGAAGGAGAGAATGGGGAGCCAAAGAGGGAGATGGGAAGGAGGAAAGAAACAGGGTCCTGGCCCTGACCGACCAGCCTCAGGGCACCTGCAGAGCACCCCTGAGGGAACCATCCTGCCCTCCCCCAACTTCATTGTGAGTTTCCCCAGCACATCTCTGTGTCTCCAGTGTCAGCACAGGGCCTGGCACAGAGTAGATGTTCTGCAAGTGTGAAATGGTAAAAGGAGCACGAATTCAACAGTGATTTTATTGCTACCCACCCCCTGGCTTAGGCGGTCATACCTGCTTTCATGGCTTAAAACCTGCGGTCAAATCCAGGCTAACTCTAGCTGATGGCCTTGGGCAGGTCACTTCTCTGAGCCTCTGACCCAGCCGTGCTAGGTGTCAGGCACTGCTTTGACTGCTTTGCCTGTTAACTCCCTTAATCGTGGCAACCCCTTGTGAGAGGGGTCGCACCGTCTCCCTCAGGGTTCAGACGCGGAAATCAAGGCCGCCTGGCCCACAGGTCCCCCGCACAGCGTCAAGGTGGGGGCGCAGATGCGGGCCCACCGCCCGCCGCGCTCGCTGACCCGGCGCCCGCCCGCAGGTACCTGGCCGTGCGGCACCCACTGCGCTCGAGGGCTCTGCGCACGCCACGCAACGCCCGCGCCGCCGTGGGCCTGGTCTGGCTGCTGGCGGCGCTCTTCTCGGCGCCCTACCTCAGCTACTACGGCACGGTGCGCTACGGCGCGCTGGAGCTCTGCGTGCCCGCCTGGGAGGACGCGCGCCGCCGCGCCCTCGACGTGGCCACCTTCGCCGCCGGCTACCTGCTGCCGGTGGCCGTGGTGACCTTGGCCTACGGACGCACGCTGCGCTTCCTGTGGGCGGCCGTGGGCCCCGCGGGCGCGGGGGTGGCCGGGGCCCGACGCAGAGCCACGGGCCGCGCGGGGCGCGCCATGCTGGCGGTGGCCGCGCTGTACGCCCTCTGCTGGGGCCCGCACCACGCGCTCATCCTCTGCTTCTGGTACGGCCGCTTCGCCTTCAGCCCGGCCACCTACGCCTGCCGCCTGGCCTCGCACTGCCTCGCCTACGCCAACTCCTGCCTCAACCCGCTGGTCTACGCGCTCGCCTCGCGCCACTTCCGCGCGCGCTTCCGCCGCCTGTGGCCCTGTGGCCGCCGCCGCCGCCGCCGCCCCCCGGGCGCCCACCGCGCCCTCCGTCGCATCCGCCCGGCGTCCTCGGGCCCTGCCGGCTGCCCGGGCGACGCCCGACCTCGCGGGAGGCTGCCGGCCGGTGGCGGCTGGGGCGGGGATCCCAGGAAGGAGGCTGCCCGCGGTGGAGAGGCCGGGCGAGCCGGGGCTGCCCCGAGACCGGAATAAACCTTGCCGCCTCCCTCTGCTGGGCGTCCGTGCATCTGTCACTCCCAGTCCCAGGGCGGAACGCTACTAACGTAGGGGATGGGGCCAACGCCAGGGGCAGTCCGAGGAACAGTGGTCGCGCGGCGCTCACAGCCCTGCGGTGAACGTGGGTCCACGCAGCCAAGCGCAGCCCCCACGTGCCATCCATAGGAGGGCAGGCCCTCCGCTCAACGCCCTAACCTGGTCAGCACCTTCTAGGCCCTGCCTCCTCCTCCACCCTTTACCCTTCTCCCTTTCAAGCCCTGTCGCTATTATTAATACTAGTGGCTAATATAGAAAATTTATTACACATTTACTATGTATCTTATGCAGAACTACTACGTCAATTACCAAAGCAGCTTTGCAAGGTAAGTGTAATTAGTTCCATTTTACAGGTGTAGAAATCAAGAATCAGAAGGTTTAGTGATTTGCCCAAGGTTATATAGTTGGTGTTTGGCAGAGGTTGGATTCAAACCCACTGCCGTCTAACTGTGTCTACTCAGTGGAGTCTCCTTCACCTCTGAGGCCTCTGCTCTGTTAACGGTTTCTAAGATTTCCTTGGTTCTTCCTGATTCTGCATCTGCCCTCTTTCCCAAACCTGCAGCTCCCACATTTGACTGGATGCCCTGGAAATCCCAGAGAGCCCAAGCGCCTTCCTTAGGAGAGTTCTTTTCAGTTACTCAGGCCAGTGGGCTTCCCCTGGGCTTCCCCCAGCCATCAAGACCTAGGTCCACTGCCTGACCCAACCCCTTCGTACTGTTCCTTCAGCCATTTGGTGCCCCTGAGCCATCGTAAGGCCCCAGCTGGCCTCCCAGCAGCCCTGGCTGCCATGTGGCCCCCTCCCTCCCTATCCCTGCACACAGCTGGGGTAGTCTGTGGCTGTGGAAACCTCTTAATTAACCAATAAATCAGTCTCAATGGTTGCAGAGCTGCCCACATCCCTCCCTTCCTCCCTCACCTAACGCCAATAATGTTTATTAGCTTCTGGTTTAGGCCTGAGACCTATCAGCCTCAGTGTCTCCAAGCACACCTCCTAGCTGCTGGGCACCCTGGGAAGGCCCCACCCTAATAGTAGGCAGCTGCAGCATCCTCATCACTGTCTGTCACCTGCCACAGACCCAGGGGTCAAAGTAGCAGTTACCCTTCACAGGGAGAGATGAGACCCAGCCTCTGCTTTGAGGGCCCAGCTCAGAGGCCAACACCTGGTGTATTTTCTCCCACATCTCTTCCAAGGATTCCACGGCCGACTCAGGGTGCAGCAGGGGGAGTGTGTCTGGAGGGCAGGGTGTGACACTGCCTACTTCCGCTCTACCCTCATGGCCTCTGTTACCCCGTAGCCACCAGTCACTCATCCACTGGCTCATCATTGCTTTGCACCATCCCTGGCTGGCAAGGGACAGTATCTCCATTTTCAGAAGCAAAAACTGAGGCTCAAGGATGTAAGGTAACTTGATCAGGGCCAAGTGGCATGTTCACAGCAGAGCTGGGATACTACCGGGCCTATGGGATGGCTCTCACGGCAGCCCAGGCAACACTGGGAAAACATCGCAGACTACCTGACAGCAGCTGCACAACAGTGGTGAGTGCCTACAAAGCAGAATTAGGTAACAAAATCTCCCCCACTTGGCCGTGGTCAGTCCAGCCACCCATCTGGGCTGTGGCTTTTCCACAGACACCTTTGTGGGCACAGAGAGATAACCAATTGAAAACAGCCTCCATCTAGGATGGGCAGGAGACAAGATCACCAAGCCGGGGAGTGGCATTGCCAGAATTTAAACCTGCCTGAAACCCCAGGCCTAGGGGAGCAGGTTGGTCAGTGGTAACCCTCCACAGGGGCCTGGATCTCGGCTCAACTGGCAGAGGGACAGTTGCACAGCTCAGGCCTCTGGCTGGACTCCAAAGGCTCCTGCTTCTGAAGCAGATCCCTCTGGCCCTTTGGAACCAGATAAAGAAACATGGGGGCCCCAACTAATGGAGGACAGTACAGCCTGGCCCAGAGGAGGCACACAGCAGGTATCTGATACACAGGGGAGAGGTGCCAGGGAAGGAAAGGCATGGTCTTTCCCTTCCTTCTTTCCTTTATCCCCCAAACATTTGAGCACCTGCCTCAAGCTATGCCTTGAGGGGAAGACAAAGGTGGTGTGTGTTTGACCTGTTGTTCTCTGCCTTCAGGAGCTCTCAGACTAGCTGGAGAGCAAAATACCAAAAGAGAAAGGATAGCACCATGTGATGGAACCGTAACATAAGAGCACATAGTTCTGAAAGGGTATGGAGGAAGCTCCAGCCTGCCTGGGCAGGCCAAGCAGGAGTCCCAGAGGAGGTGACATTTAAGATGCATTTTCTGGAGAAAAGGTGGGAAGGGCCTGCCAGGTAGAACAGCAGCTTGTGCCAAGGCAGGGTACAGGTAGGAGCCGCATGTGGGCTCATGCAGCTGAAGCAGGGCAGGGTGGGGTCTGGGGAAGCCAGGAGGGTGAGTGTGGTGGGATCATATGCACCGCCTAGGCCAGCTGAGCAGAAACTTCCTCTTCGAGGCAGACCGGTAGGTTTTGAGGAGGGGAGGAGCCCCATCAGAAGTGTGGTCAGAAAGCCCCTGGGATTGCTGTGTCGAGGCTGGGTTGGAAGTGCCAGGCTGGCAGCAAGAAGAGCAATCCAGAGGCTGCTCTGTGAGCCCCTGGCAGGAAAGCCACCACCAAGGGCCTGGCCTAGAGCTGGGAAATTATTTTTGCCATGGATTTGGCAGGAAGATTGATGGCCTGCTGCTGGGCCTGGGCTTGACCCCTGAGGCCCATGGATCTGCTTCAGAGGGCTAATGAAATGCTCGGAAGAGCAGATGGTTAAAATTCTTTGGTTAGGAGAGAGCTCTGAGTCCTGTAGGGCCAGAGGAAGGCACCGGGGGCTAGGATGGAGGCTGAATGTGCCCTGGGTTGGGCCTGGGGCAGCCTGGAGCTGAACTTTGAATTCTGCAGCCCTCTCACCCTCCTATCTGTGCAAAACTCTTGGGGGTGGGCCTATAGTATTCCTGTCTGAGCACATAGGGTTCTCCTTCTGGAAAGAAAGACAGCAGCACAGGGGATTGTGGGAGCTCAGAGGAGGGCCCTAGCCCAGCCTAGGGAGGCAGAGAAGACTTCCGGAAGGAGCTGGTGCCCTAGCTAAATCCTGGAGAATTAATCAGGGGAAGGGAGAGAATGAGGGACATGTACACAGGCGCCCTGGAGGCAGGCACAGTGTGATGTGCCGAGGCCTGGAACAGGGAACACAGGAGCCCTGGCAGCAAGTGAAGTGGGAGAGGCGGAAGGCAGTGGCAAAGGATTCTGTAAACCCTCTCTGAAATGGAGGCTGCACTTTGTCCGGAGGGCCATGGGGAGCCACTGAAAAGTTTTGATCAAGAGTGACTGATCAGATTCACTCCTTAGGGAACTCTGTCTGGCTACAAGGCAGGCTTGCCTGGGAAGGGAGAGCAGAACGAGACTGGGGGCAGGGAGACCAAGTGGGAGGCCGGTGTGAGAACCTAGAGAGATGAAGATACCCTAGTTGGCAGCAGTGGGGAGACAAGGACAGGACAATCACTTAGGAGGTGTACTTGATGATTAAACATTGATGCGGGGCCGGGGGGCAGGTATCCCGGATGACATCCCAGACTTGTGGTTTGAGCTGCTGAGGGCGGCAGTGATGGTGGGGGAGCAGCTTTGTGGGGTGCGTGTGGAGGAGAGAGTGCTCAGCTGGAACATGTTGAGACTGAGGGGCCTGGGGAACATGGTGGGGGTGCCCCTCGTGTACTGGGCACCTGCTCCGTTTCAGGCCTTGTGCTTGACCCTGGAACATGTGTCTCATTTGCTTTAGAGTCTGAAGGTGGAGAAACTCAGAGAAGCTCAGAGAGAGATTAAATTATTTGCCCAAGATCACAGAGCCAGCCCAAAACAGAGGTCTAACTCAGCTTCTTTTCTGATTTCGGTTCCTGGTCTTTAGGGAGAAGAGACAGGAAGGAGCTGATTGAAGGGGAGGAAGGAATTTGAATGTGCAAAGGTAACCCCTCAGCCCTGACCCTGACCTGTGTAACAGCCATAGCCAGGCTGAAACCGTAGCCCGGCTGAGGGGAGGGTGGGTGAGGTGAGGGCTGTGGCACAGCTCTGTTAACCACCACTCCCTGCCTACGGCTGGCAGGAACGCCATCATTTATCAACTTTGAGGTGTGTACCTGGGGACATACGTACCAATTAACCACCCCGAGGTTTCCTATTAATGAGCATCACTTCCTCTGCCCTGATGCAGGGCTCATTTGCCAGCTGCCAGCTGGATCCAGGATGGCATGAGGCCAGAGGGACAGGCTGTGCAGGGGTGGAATTGGTTTAAGAGGACAAGACTGATTTACTGAGGCATCTGCTTGGTGCCAAGTTGGTTTAGCAGCCCAGGCTCTGTGTAGGGGTGAGACTGAAGCAGGAGGGAGAGTGGTGAGGGGCTGAGGGGCATGGATGTCAGCTTGGAGGAGCTGGGGGTGCTCTGGACGGCTGTGGTGCTGGAGAGGGTGCTGACCTGGGCATCTGGTGGACTTGCCAGGTCAACTCAGAGATGGCATAGTCAAGGCATGGACTTTGAGCCACGTTGTTGGGTGTGAATCCTGGTTCCTGCACGTCACAGCTCTGCCCTCTCTATGCCTCAGTAACATGTAGAACTGAGCTCTGTCTGAGCCGGGTCCCATTCGAGGCAAACCCCCTCGGTTGCGTGCCGGCCTCTGCCGGTTGTCTGTGATGCTTCGAGGGCTCTCTGGCTAATAGATCCTCGTCTCCATCAGGACTCTTACAATCCAGCTAAGGAGGCAAGGCTCACCCACCCCTGCCCTCTGGGTGTGATGAGCACCAAGTGCTTCTATAACATGCCATTCGCCTAGGCTTCCAAAGTGGGAGAAAGTCACTAGGCTGGTGTCGGCCAGTCACAAGGACAACAGAACCGTCAGCGCCCTGACCGGGGCTTCCCGCAGCGTGTTTCCTCATCCATAAAGCGAGCTGATCATATCTCCCTTCTGCACCGAGGCCTCAGTGTGAGCTGCAGAGCCAGCCTCACGGGGTTTGGGCCCCGATCCCCTCTGGGCCCCCTAGCTGGGGGAGCCAGGGTGTCAGTAATGACCTCCTGACCCTGTCTTGGGCTCAGCATCTCAAGCAACCTAGGGAGCAAGCAGCCCTGGAGGGGATAGGGGCTGTCTCCCGGAGGGGCCTTCCCCCGGAGCTCCTGGTGCCTGCTCTGGGTAAGGGCGCATCCAATGGCAGAGAAGAGGTGATAAAGCCGCCTCGGATTCCTGCTGCCAGAGCATCTCTGCAGACTTGGGGACCGCAGCAGCCTGGCTTCACCTCCCCCTCTGGCTAGCCTCTTACTCCCCTGGGCCCACAGCCAGCTCATACCCGTCCTCCGTCTCCAGGCTTCGCTCATGCTGCTCCCTCCACCCACCTCTGGGTGCCTGTGAGGACAGATGAGGCTGCCACCAAAGATCAGCAAGGACCACTCCAGACCCAGCTCAGCCCCATTACCTGGCACTGTCCTCCCTCCCCAGGTGGCCAGGTGCATGCCTTGTGTTCAGCGAGGAAAGGGCCAGGCCTTCCCTGCACCTGAGCCAGGTCGGAGCCCAAGATGTCCGTTCAGTAAGGTTCCTTGCTTCTTACCGTATCCTGGAGCACTAAGGGCACTGGTGCTTTGGACATCTTGGCAGAGATTATGCTAGACCTGAGCTGGGCCCTATCTGACCTCAAGCAAGTTACTTTCTCTGAGCCTCCATTTTTTGCATCTATAAAATAGTGGGAGCAGTAATGTCAACTACCTAATAGTGAGAACCTGTGAATATTCTTCTCCAGGCATTTACCACCGTCTGCCATGGGCGACGACAGGCACTTTGTTCTCTCATTCACTGCTGTATTCCCACACAGAGCATTGCCCAGTGCACAGCAAACATCCAGGAAGTATTTCTAACGTGAATGAAATGTGAGGTATAAAGCAAGGACCCTACCCAGCAGGTGAAACCAACAAGTGTGGATTTCTTCTTCCTGCCCCTCCACCCCATCCCCTCCCTGCTTCCCACACTCACTCACTCCCAGAGCAGCTATTACCAGAACTAACTCCTATGCAGGCAACCTCTGTGGAGATCTCCATCCTGCCCCTGCCCAGCCCGGCCAGCTCAGGGCCTGTGTGTGTTTTCTGACTCACTCCAGTGTCTGGGGCTGACCTTAACTGGCTGGCTCTTCAGACAGATTTGGGGTTGCAGGGAAAATCCTGGCTGGAAATGGGGTGAAGCAGACTGTCTGTCTGTCTGGCAAGTATCTGATGACTGGCCCATAAGCCACCTTCATCTGCCAAGCCCTCCATTCAGTTTATACAGCCAGGGAGGGAGTAGACAATAGCCCCTTTGCTGGTCTGCACAGCCTGTTCTCAGTGTTACACGGCAACAGGGCCAGAGTGGGTGGTGTGCCACAGGACGGAGGACACTGCAGAGATGCCCCCAGCTTTCCAGGTGGGGAGTGGCTTGGTCCAGACCAAGAACTTGTTATGAGTTAAGCCAGTGAGTCTCTCTCTGTATCAGGCTGTCCTGGAAACGGGTGCAGTCACCTCGGCATTCACCACATCCCAGCACGCCCCAACCCCTCGGCTCTGCCAACATACAGCAGCCTGCCTCGGGATAATGAGTCTGGGAAGTGCCCAGGTGGTCCCCAGGATGCCCCTCACCTATCTGTGGCAAGAGTTTTTAACCTTTTCTGAGTGTGAACTCTGCTGAGAATGGAAGCTATGGACCCTTGTATCAGAATCACACATGCGCACTCTTCACACAAAATCTTGTATCGTTTTGGGGGTTCATTCTTCTCTAAGGGCCCGTTAACCAAACCCCTTAGACCTGAAATTGAGAAACTTGCCTCACTTCTCTTGAGGGTGAGCGGCCCTGGAGTGTGGTGGGGAGAGGCTCACAGGAGCAGGTCCCATGAAGTTGCCACTGAGTTTGAAGTCCATTCCCTCCCACCCTGGTGTCTCCTCTACTCTGGACTTCTCCCTGCCCAGGCCCCGCCATGGGGCCATGGGCCAAGAGGGGCTTGCGTCCAGACACAGGCCCCAGTAGAGCCCCTGGAGGAAGGCAGGCTCAAGCGTGCCCCCTAGGCCTGAGTGGGCAGGCTCACTTGGAAGCAGTGGCTAACAGGAGGGACGGGAGACTCACTACCGCACATGGCCAGCTGGCCCACCTCACTGACAGCAGCAGCAGCTAAGCTCCAGGGAAATGCTTTGCTGCTCCTCTGCCCTTCGCTCTCCAGGCCTGGGGCTTCCACACTTTCCCTTCCTCAACCCGGACGGCCTGGTGGGGCCTTGAGCTTTCCCTCTCACGGGGTCCTGGAGTCCAGATCTGTCAAGCTTGGATTTGGAGGACAAGCACCCTTCCTCTGAAAAGCAGCCAGGATTCCAATCTGGTGAGAGGGAAAGTGGGGCATAGCCAGGATGGACGTGGACTACGGCCTGAAAAAAGTCTGTCTTTACGCTGTAGTCGAATGCCTCTTTGGAGAGGCTGAGACCAGGCCATGCTTTCCCTTCCGTCCTCCCTCTCGGGGCCGCCCCCTGCCATGCGGGGGTGCTGCCTTTTGGGTCTCCAAGGCCCACAGAGGAAATGTCTGCTGCCGTGGTGGCAGGAGCGGGTGCCTCCTTTACATGAGTTTTGGGCCTTCATTAGCACTTCAGTTTCTTCTTGCTTCTGCAACAGATGACCAAAAACTTAGTGACTTAAAACAACACAAATTTATTCCTTTACAGTTCTGGTGGTCAGAATTCTAAAGTCAGTCTCACTGGGCTAAAGTCAAGGTGTCAGTAGGGCCGGTTCCTTCTGGAGGTCCTGAGGACCCATTTCCTTGCCTTTTCTAGCTTCCGGAAGCTGCCTGCATTCCTTGGCTTGTGACCCCCTCCCCACATTACTCCACCTTCTTGTTTCTGTCACCATATTTCTCCTTCCTCTATGATCTCCTGCTTCCTTCTTATAAGGATCCCTGTGATTGCATCAGGCCCACCTGGATAAGCCAGGCTAATTGCCTTGTCTAAAGATCCTTAGTTATATCTGTGAAGTCCCTTCTGCTATGTAGGGTGATGTGCACAGGTTCCTGGGATTAGAACACAGACATCTTGGGGGGCTACTACTCAGCCAACCACACTAGGCTGCAGAACTGAATGCTTTGTCTGCCCGGCATTTCAAAGATTGGGAAAAAAAGGATTGGGGCTTTTCTGCTGTAGGTTTGGCAGGGTCCTTCCTAATCGTGCACATCTAAGGTTTAGTCTCCCTCCCCTTCCAGCCAGCAACTCAGAGCAATGCTTCTTGAAAATCAGGTGGTAAGTCCAAATCTAAGTGCTGGTGAGAGGTGCAGGGCCAGCCAAGCCACACCCTGGGCCAGAGAGCGCTGCCCTAAGGCCACACCCTATGGGCTGCAAGTAGCCCATGGCTGGGAAGGGGCACTGCAAAGGGTGTGGGGCCTGCTGAGGGCACCAGGGAGGACATGGGACAAGTGAGGCCTGCTAGGACAGCGTGTGTCGGCAAGAGCTGAGGTGTGGCTGAATTGCTGTGGAAGCCGGAGGACACAGCTGGGGGCTGTGGGTCTGAGCCCAGAGAGATGACAGAGACTGTGGCTGGTTGTGGCTCTGAGATCAGTGAGAGAGCATCTCTGCCCCACAGCATCTTGGGGCACGGGCAAGGGCCTCACCAGGCAAGTGTAGCTCCAAAGTCCCAGGCATTGGGCTTTTTCTTTACAATGAGAGCAGTGGAGGCAGGGGTGGGGCAGTGGCAGAGTGGGAAGGCAGGGAGCCTCTCTTGCTACCTCTTCTCCATGTTTTGCATCTGCAGGCTGAGGGAAGTGAAGCTGGCCAGGAGGTCGGTCACTTCATCCACCTGTTGGACAAAGTTATAGGCCTGTTGGAGTTGATTCATGACTGTGCATTGAGTCCCCTATACAGAATGTTGTTGTTGTTAACAACCATTTGATCAATAAATGAAAGATGCCCTCTCAAAAACAAAAAAATACAAGCAAAAAAAAAAAGTTATAGCCCCGTTATAGGGTCCCGGGACAGGCACAGGGGCCTGGGCCCCCAGGCATACACGGAGGGCAGGCATTGTCTCTCCTCCCAGAGCATGTGATGGCTTCACCCTATGGAACAGCTGTTCAAGGGTTAATCCTTGATGCTAGATGGTCTCAGCCTGCCCCAGAGACAAGGGCCATGAGTGGCTTCAAAGGAAGTGAACAGAGGCTCTGAGGTGGGCTGCCGCCGACAGCCACCGCAAGTGTCAGACTGCATCAGAGCAGGGATGGAGGGGCCCTGAGGCTCCTGCCAGGCCCTGGGTCTGGACCCCTGGCTGCTGCTCACCTGCTCTTTGGTGCTCGTCATCTGGAGGCGGGTGCAGAGGTCGTCCAGCCGTTCCCGCTGCTCATGCCGCCCCAGGCGCTCCAGGTACTCCCTCAGCATTTGGATGATCTGAAACAAGAGGGTGGCTGAGCCGCGGGGTGCTAGGTAGGAGGCACGGAGAGGCCTGATGCTGCTGTCAAGGAGCAGGTGCCAACTGCGGTCAGTGTGAAGCAACCCAGCTCTGGACTTGGAGCAGCACGTGTCCACTGCTTGCTTGGTGCCATGGGCTCAGCTTAAGAAGGCACTCACCTGCTTCACCTCCAGGCGCACAGCCTCCAGGCACTGAGAGTGGCCTTCCTGTAGGATGTTCAGCTTTGACTTAGCAAGGTGCAGGGGTGTGCGGCCAGCTCGGTCCAGGGCATCTACACGGGCCCCTGTGGGAGCAGGCAGAAGTGAGAGTGCTGGGGGTGAGGGCGAGAGAGGAGGGCGAAGGGGAAGGGACCACATACCTCCTCGTAGCAGTGTGGTGATGACAGGGACATGGTTGGTGCAGGCCGCTGAGAAAGAAGAACAGGGACTTGAGAGTCCAGGACCACCAGGGCCTGGCCTGTGTCCACTGGAGGGAGCAGGACTGCATCTCTGAGTTTGCTTGCGCCAGGTCATGACCCCTGAGAGGGCATCACTAAGGCAGCAAGTGGGGGGATGCAGCAAGTGCGGGGACACAGCAATCGAGTCCAACTGCCTCCCTGTACAGCTGGGGACACTGAGGCTGAGGAACCTGCCACATCATGAGCTGTGGTGTGAGTCAGCCACAGGGTAGGAACCACGTCTTCATATCCCCTAGCAGTGCTGCTGCTGAGGCAGTTCAGGTTGCCGAAGGAGCTCTGCTCAGGGTACAGCCAACTAGTGATTGAGGGGGAGGTACATGGAACTGACTGGGGGAGTGTGCCGTGGGGCTCGGGCTCTCCCCACCTGTAGGACATCCTGCTGGGTGCCTGCAGGACCCCGGGCTCTCCATGAAAGGAGCCTGTCTGTGCTGCAGAGAAGGGTGTCTTGGCAGCTTTCCAGGTCCTTACCCAGGTGCAGTGGCGTGTTCCCCAGCCCATCTCGCTGGTTGGGATCAGCCCCATGGTCCAGGAGCAGCTGCACTGGAAACAGGAAAACCCAAGAGCAGCTGTCGGAGGCTTGTAAGGACTGGACCCTAGCACCCACCCCTGCCCTACCTAGAGAGGCTCCAGGTGTGGACACTGAAAACGAACTCAGCACCCTATGTGGTTTCATCCCTTCATTCACTGGCTTGCTCGTGCACTCGCGTGCTCACGCACTCGCTCACTCACTCACTCACTCACAGGACTCATGTGCAGGACTCTGATGGCCAGGAGCTGAGGATTCCAGGAGGGCCTCCTGGCCTATGCAGGTTGCAGGACTAACATTTTAAGGTTTAAAGAAAGTGCTTCCAACGGCAGTGGCTGTTAGTGAAGGCTCTCAACGGCATTTTCTGCTCCTTCCACAGCCAAACGCCTTAGTGGGAATTAGGCTAATAGATGAAGCTGAGCACCCCCTCGAGAGCCTCTAGGCCACCTTAAGGGGCAACCATGATATCATCAAGGCTCATCAATTACCCAGACAGATGTGCAGGCAGACTGATAACGCGGAGGCCAAGCTGAGCCTCACGCCATATACAGAAACTAATTCAAGAGGGACCATAGATGTGACCTAAATGTGAAAGCTAAAACTGTCAGGCTTGTAGAAGAAACCAAGAGTTTATATTCATGATCTTGGGATAGGCAAAGATGTCTTTAAAAGGTCATAAAAATACTAACCATAAACAAAAGGTTGATAAATTGCATTATTAAGAAATCGTGTTCATCAAAAGACACTATTCAGAGAACTAAAGGCAACAGAAAAGGTGTATCATTTGCATTTGATAAATGATTTATATCCAAAATATATAAAGAATTTCTACAAAGCAGTAAGAAAAAGATAGGCAACTTATTTTTAAAAATGGACAAAAGACTTGAACAGATACTTCACTAAAGAGGATATAAAAATGGCTAATAAATACATGAAGGCATTCTCAATATTACTATCATGTTAAATACATGTTAAACCACTTTGATACCACTATACCAGAATGGCTAAAATTAAAGAGACAATCCAAAGCGTTAGTTAGCAAGGATGTGGAAAAATGTGGAATCCTCTACATTTGCTGGTGGGACGGTATAATGGTATAGACACCTTGGGAATAAGTTTGGTAGTACACACTAAAGCTAAATATATGTGTACCCACTCCCAGGTTTATATCTAACATAGATAAGTACCTATAACCACCAAGTTACATTTACAAGAATGTTTATAGCAGCTTTATATTCATTGTATTTTTCCAAACCTGGAAATACACACACATCCTTCAATAGTAGAATGGGTGAGCTGTGGTATATCACACAGGAAATACTATCCAGCAACAGGAAAGAACAAATTACTGATACATATAACATTCAGGGATGAATCCCAAGGATATATATTTGTTAGTGAAAGAAGTCAAAATACAAGAGTACGTACTCTATGCTCCCATTTATGTCAAATTCAAAACTAGGCAAACGAATCTATGGTGAACAAGGCCCAAATGAGGGTAAGGACTGAAGCAGCCTAAGGCAGGCAGGCTGCTAGGGTGCT